GCCCGGCCGCCCCCCCTCCCTCCCCACCCACCCGGCGGCAGCGTTAGCAGAGCATCTCCTGCGCACGCACAGGAGATGCTCTTGCACTTTCGGGGGGATTTGAACATCCCCCCGAATTTTTTTTTAACTTTTTTTATTTTTGTGCACACGTGGGGACTGGCCCACGTGTGCACAAACCTCCCCTGGCCCCCACAGCTGCCCCCTCCGTGCTAATTTAAGTATCCGCACGGAGGGGGCAACTTGGCTATTAGTATAAGGATATTCTATTCTATCGGCCCTCCAAAACCACTGAAGGAAGAACGTTCAGTCTCGCCAAAGTAAAAGCTCTTCTTAGTTTTGGGACTGTCAGTTGATAAAAATATTTCGGCAGTTGCATCGGGAGGGCAATTCCCAAATGGAGTACACACTGGAATAAAAACAAAATCTCAACTTCAACTATATGCTAATAGAGTCTAAACTTGCTGAGACTGAGAGAGAAAGAGGCCTTGGGGTCATAGTAGATAGCTCAATGAAAGTGTCTACCCAGTGTGCCAGCTCTATGAAAAAGGCAAACTCTTGTTGGGGATTATTAGAAAAGCAATAGAAAATAAAACAGCCAATATTATAATGCCCCTATATAACTCTATGGTGCGGCCTCATTTGGCATATTTTGTGAAGTTTTGGTCACCATATCTCAAAAAGGACATTGCAGAGCTGGGGGGGGGGAGGAGTACAGAAGTTTAAGATGATTAAGAGGTCAGCATTTTTTCCTATGAGGAAAGGTCGAAGAGTCTGGTGCTTTTCAGTTTAGAGAAGAAATGACTGGGGGGAAGGGAGAGACATAACAGAAGTTTATAAAAGTACGCATGGACTACAGAGAGTAGACAGAACTTTTTCTCCTGCCACCCAAATACTAGAACTTGAGGGCATCTAATGAAGTTGATGGGCAGTAGATTCAGGATGAACAAAAGAAAATACTTCTTTACACAATGAGTGATTAAAATGTGGAATTGCTGCTGGAGGATGTAGTACTGGCTACAGGACTGGATGGCTTTAAAAGGGGAATTCATGAAGGATAGGGCTACTAGCTCTTGTGACTACAGGGAACCTTCACATTCAGATGCAGTAAACCTTTGAGTACCAGTGCCAAGAGCAAACTTCAGGGGAAGGTCTCAGCCTTTCTGCCCTGTTATTGGCCCTTCAGAGGAAGTGGCTGGCTACTGTGTGTGATAGGATGCTGAACCAGATGGATCACCAGTCTGATCCAGCAGGGCTCCTCTTATGTTCTTATGTGATAGCCACAAACTTTTGTATAAAAGCCATCCAACACTGAAAGTTTTCCTATGTACTTTTGCATGATACTCCCAGAAAGACTCTACTAGTAACTCACAGACACTAAAGCTACATTCTCATGAACATAATGTTAGATAATTCTTCGTAATTTGGGATGGGATAATTTCAGATGGTAGTGCCTTACTTCTACGCTCAGCCTTGGTATTAAAGGAGTGGAGTACATAATGCCCTTTTCCTTCTCTCCAGGAAAGATGCTTATTTTGCATTAGTTATTCCAGTTCTTCTAGTCAAAGGCAGAAGTACCTACCTAAACAAGCTACTGAAGCCACCACTGGAAACTCTACCAAGCTTCCCCCATCTGGTTTCTGAGATTTCATCAAGAATCAATCATGCTTTCAAGAATAATAAATATTCTTGGGTCAAGGGAGAGGAATAGAATTAGTTGTTTGGAGAGCCCAGCCACTATCTAGCTTTGCTTTTGTATCTGTATCCATGCTGGGCTCAGTGCTTCAAAACTTTCAATATATCTGCATGATACTTTCTTTTCAAAACATCTGTACTAGCAATATACATCCTCTTTCCTCATACATTCTCAAGAAGTATTACAGAAAGAGGCTACTTTTTACAAAATTAACAAAGGTGAAAATATCAGATGATTTTTTTTCTAGCTCTCCTTGCAATCATATGACATTTAGGCAAGACTGAACTCAGGAACCGTCTAAACACTGAGTTGCCAGAAGAGGGGGGTAGTGGGGCAACAGAAGGAGAGTACTCTAGTAGTGGGGGCTAAATCATGAATGGTGCTAAAATTTCACAGAAGTAGATGGAAGTTCTAAGCACTCCACAATACTCAGGGTGAAGATTCTGAAGAAGTCCAGTAAATTAAACTGATTCTAGCATTCTAAAAACAAAATCAGTCAATGCAGTTCCAAAGAACAACTTCTTCAGAAATGCAGAGCAATTTTGTTGAACATGCCAAAGATAGGATGAACTCTCTCAGGTTAATTTTAAACTGATTTTCTGATCTCCTATTAATAATCAATGTATCCAATTCTCAACATGGCAAAATCTGTGGATACGTAAACCCAGACTGGAGCCATGAACAGACAAAAAAGATATTTCTACAAACCTGAGAAAAGCCCCTTGTTTGCACTAAAACCTGAAAATGGAGATTGGGGAACAGAAAAAAGGTTGGGGGGTGGGTAGGTGAGAACTGGGAAGGAGAAAAAGAAACAGGGAAAGGGGAGGCTATGGGTGTTTCTGGGAGGAGGGGAAAAGGAAATAGTGTGAGGAAGGGGATACAGAGGAAAATGAGGTGCCCCCTGCAAGCCCATGAGAGTTCCTGTTGTGTACTAACTACAGCTGCGCATGCGGTTGGGTTCGCACGCAGCCATGTGAACCAGCCGAGCTTTGCTCACTCCAACAATAGACAGAACGGATCTGAGAACGGGCCTATCGGGCAACTCGGATCCTAGTGTAAACCTATGGGAATGGGCACTATGTAAATAAACCAATCACGGGTGTGTATGGGTGTGTGGGTGTGGCACAGAACGGACACTTAAGCAGGCCTCCGGCCTGGCTTGAGCATTCCAGTTTCTTCTGCCTTAATAAAGTAATGAGCTGATTTCACTATCTATGCGTCTGGACCCAGTACTTTACAGTTCCCCACTGTGAAACTGGGCCCAGCACAGCACACACAGAATTTTCCCAGGGAAAGCTGAAGGGGGGGGGGACAGATAAAGGTAGGTTAGCTGGTAGTTGGTAAGGAGAGAAGCAAGCAGGAAAAGGACAGGTTCTGGGGGCTTTCAAGGAAGGAAAAAAGGAAATATTGCAGGAAGGGGAAATGAGATCCCCCCCCCTGCAAGTCCTTGCAGGTCCCCCCAGGCCTGTAGCCTTGGGCTGCGATCACATATGCCTTTAGGTACAACATAGTTGCAAATACCTGACGGATCTAAAGAGAGCAATCAGACAGCAACATCTGGGAAGTGTCCCGCAGTCGTCGACAATCCATGCTGCTCTGCTGCTAGGACTGCCAAGTGGGGGCGGGGAAAACCCTGCTTTGGAGGCTCGATTTCCGCCGTGGCGGAATCAGGGCCCAGGGGGAACTCTGCCCCCCAAAGCTGTGTCACCAGAGGTGACGCAGCCACGCCACTCACGTTGGGAGCGTGGCCCAGATCGTCGGGGGAAACCATATGGTTTTCCCCCGACGATCTGGGCCACGCCCCCAACGTGATCGACGTTGCACGTCACTTCCGTTGACGTGCTGGTGGCACGCACGCGCGCATCCGGAGCCGGCTCCCGGACCCGTCGGAGCCTCCCCGCCAGTGAGGTTGCGGGGCCTGGCAACCCTATTCACTCAAAACCCACTTATTTATCGCAAAGTGCCAACACGGCAATTTAACCTGAATACTGAGGTTTTACTTTAGAAAAAACAACTCATACATTAACTTAAGATGATCCAAACAAAGTAAGGAAAGCAATCCCAAATTCTTTCACTTACTTAAAATTATTTGGCAGAGAATTCGACACTTTAATGATGGTCTGGGCCAGGCTGGGGCGATGGCACGCGTGCCCACAGAGAGGGCTCTGAGTGCCACCTCTGGCACCCATGTGTGATAGCACAAGCACACTCTCATGCCATCAGGATGGTCTGATCATGCCATCCCAGCTCGGTGCCATTTTTCTTCCCCCTCTTCGCTGTATGCACATCATCGCATACTCCATAAGGGGCCCTTAGTGCAGAGGTGCGATTCCTCATTTATCTGCATGGGAAACAAAACGGCCAAAAAAAACCCAACTCACCAGCAGTTGCGTCTGATCACACAGTGATGAGCTGCGCCCACTGCTACAAAGAGAAGTGTGATCTCACAACCACGTGTCAAATTCCTCTGGAGGAAATAGCCTCGCTTCCCCTCCACTTCAACTGGCATGTGTGACCACAGCCATAGTGGGCCCCCTTTCTTAAAGGCACAGCCCCACAAGAATTTCTCCTGTAAATGCTTTTTTCAATCATCCTTAAACCTTTTTTTGCTCCTTTAAGCAGAGTGGGGTGCTGTAGTTGATTAATTCCCACACAAAGCAAGGGGGTTGAAGTTGGTGACCTCTAACTCTGTGTCAAGAAACTGGTCTCCTTTAAGAAAGTTTTTCTTGACTATAGAAGTCATCACCCCCACCTCCCAGCTTTCTATCAGAGTTGTTGCTTAGGCTGGCAACTTGCAGCAGCTGGGAACTGTCATCTAAAGTGGTTGACAGCTTGCAATTTAGAGATCTATCCTGGTAACAGCTTTCTATTGGCTAAATGGCTTTTCTTTCTGCACTGAGAACTTCAGCCCCACCAGAAAAAAAAATTGCCCCACAAGCCACAAAATCCTGGCTACGGGCCTGGGGCCCCCTTTGGAACCATATAACAGTCAACTTCTAGATCTTGGTTTCTCTCTTAGATACTTAATCAATTGTACAGATACAAAAAAAAAGTGAAGTTTGCTTATTGACTAACTTTGGATGTATAACTTACCTAACTTCAATTAAAAAAAATTAAATATAAAAAAAGTATGTGAACTGAATATGCAACAGGGTACAAAAGTAAGTTTCATCAGTATCACATATACTCAGATACACACCACTATGAAACATTGAGTATTTCCCTCATTTTGCAAAAAAGTTATATTGAGGAACAAGAATTATTCACTGTCATCAAATCCCAGGCCACCCGCAAAGGAATTCTCTTGTCACAGTCCTGAATTTTCATGGCAAACACAGAGAAGTTCTTGATCACCAAAGACTTCACCATACCTGATAATAACAGGACCACAGTAGGAGGGGTGGATTTTGGAACACAAGTCCTCCAGTTGCAGACGCTCCCCTGGACTGATATCATAGTTGTGCTTCTGGTAGCTAATCAGCCAGCTATAGTCCACACCTGTCTTTATCTTGCGGTACTCATTCTCTCTGTCCCGCTGCTGTTTCTCAGCTTCCTTAATTTGCCAGCCCAGCTCCATCATAAGGGTTTCTATCACCATTTCTGTGGGGCTCCTTTGGGACATTCGTCTCGAAGGCTCATTCCACCTGAACCAAGAACCCAGCGACATGGTCTCTGTAAAGGGCAAATTGAAGGTTACAAAATATTCATGTTTTCAGATGGAAAAGTGAATGTTTCAGATTTGGAGCTTGCATAGATTTGGGACCAAATACAAGAATATGGAGTAAAGTTCATACTCTGATAAAAGTGAATGATTAGAAATGAGGAGTGCTGCTCCTCTCCACCATTTCATTCCTCCTGGAAACTGCAGCAGTGTTGAGATGGGACAGAGCTACCGAAGAGCTCCTCTTGCAGTGTACTTGGACTTCTGATGTTACCCCCATGGTATACAAAAATACCCCTACTGAATCAGCCTACATTGCACGTCTAGTCTGGAATCTTGCCCTAGAGCCCCAACAAACAACAAACATATATGAAGCTTATACTGAGTCATACCACTGGTTCCTACTCTGACTGGTGGTGGCTCTCAGTTGGAGGGAGGTCTTTTATTCATTCATTCATTCATTCATTCAATTTATACCCTGCCCTCCCCGTCAAGGCAGGCTCAGGGCGGCTTACATAAAAGTACATATATAAATGTGGTTAAAAATCATTCATAAAAACACCATAATAATTAAATATTAATTATCCTAAAGTGCTGGAGCAATATTCAAGTAAAGTGCGAGAGCAGAAGTTTCAAGATTAACAGTACTACTTAGGTGGCAGTCATGATGACACTTTCATACTAGCTCAGTTGATCCAATTATGTATGCAGTGAGCACAGGCTGTAAGTTGTAGGCCAGGGCACAGGGTCACTTCTCAGGTGTTTGGTGCAACTCCTAATCGAAAGCCTGGTGGAAGAGCTCTGTTTTACAGGCCCTGCAGAACTGTAGGAGGTCCTGCAGGGCCCTGATCTCCTCTGGGAGCTCATTCCACCAGTGCGGAGCCACCACTGAGAAGGCCTTGGCCCTGGTTATCGCCAGTCTGCCATCCTTGGGGCCTGGGAGGGCCAGCTGGTTTTGGGCCCCTGAACGCAGTGCTCTCTGAGGGATGTATGGGGAAAGGCAGTCCCCCTTAGGCAGACCCTGACCATAAAGGGCTTTAAAGGTCAAGACCAGCACCTTGAAACAAATCTGGTATGCTATTGGCAGCCAGTTCAATGCTTTTAGCACAGGCTGGATGTGCTCCTGCGTACGGAGACCCATCAACAGCCTGACAGAAGCATTTTGCACTAGCTGCAGCTTCTGGATTTGGGACAAGGGCAGCCCCATGTAGAGAGCATTACAGTAGTCCAATCTCGAGGTGACCATCGCATGGATCACTGTTGCCAAGTCGTTGTGTTCGAGGAAGGAAACCAACTGCCTGATCAGCCAGAGATGATAAAAGGCTGACTTGGCAGTGGCTGCTACCTGGGCCTCCATTGTTAAGGAGGCATCCAAGAGCACTCCCAAGCTCCTAACCTCTGGCACTGGCACCAACTATGCCCCATCAGGAGTGGGATCTCTACCCCCCGGCCACCCCGGCTCAGGCACAGGACCTCCATCTTCATCGGATTCAGTTTCAATCGACTCAGTCTAAGCCAGACATGGCTTGTAATGCCCGGTCCAGATCTTCTGGTGTAGAGTCAGAATGGCCACCCAACAACAGATAGAGCTGGGTGTCATCCACATATTGGTGACATCCCAGCCCATGCCTCTGGGCAAGGAGGCACATACAGATGTTGAACAGCATCGGGGAAAGTACCGACCCTTGAGGCACTCCACAGATCAGTGGATGCCTTCAGGACAGCCATTCCCCTAGTGCCACCCTTTGTCCCCAACCCTGAAGAAAGGATGCAAGCCATTGCAAGGTAAGCCCCTGAATTGCAGAGTCAGTGAGGTGGTGGATCAGTAGCTGATGGCCAACCATGTTGAATGCTGCCAACAAACTGCAGAGTCGGTGAGGTGGTGGATCAATAGCTGATGGTTGACCATGTTGAACGCTGCTGACAGGTCCAACAATAACAGCACTGCCAATCCACCTCAGTCCAGGTGCCTCCGGAGGTCGTCCATGCCTCCGGAGGTCGTCCCATGTCCCAGGCGAAAACTGGACTGGAAGGGATCTAAGGTGGAAGTGTCATCCAAAAATTTCTGTAACTGGCCTGCCATGGCCAGTTTTGCATCACCTACTGTTATAGAGCCTCCATAGGTTCTCAGAAGTTCCCAAAGGAATAATACATATATGCCCCAAAGAGCTTTACACTCTAGTAATCAACATCTCCTGGTGGTCCCTGGCTCAAAAGATGTCTGTCTAGCCTCGACCAGGGCCAGGGTTTTCTCTGCCCTGGCCCCCACCTGGTAAAACATGCTCCCCATCGAGATCAGGACCCTGCGAGATCTTAGTTCTGCAGGGCCTGCAAGACGGAGCTGTTCCGTCAGGCTTTTGGTTGAGGCAGCGGGCATCCACACATGGCCTCCCCGAGGTTGCTATCTTCTACCTACTGGCTATCCATCTACCAGCAACCAGCCATATCCATCAGTATGAATGGGTTGGAATATTCACCAGCAGCTATAACTACAGATTTTAAATGTTTATAATGTAAATGTTTTACTGTGTTTTAAACTTTACTGTATTATTGAAGATGATGTGACCCGCACTGAGCCCGCTCGCAGGATGGGCAGGATACAAATACAAACAATAAATAAAAAATAAAAATACTTACAAGGAGATCTTTAATAACACACCAAAGTTACCAAAGGTGCAGGCTAAGCTTCTATCAGCTGACCTCCAGCACACAAATGCGCAGCAAAACTTAGCTAGACCTTCAGACCACAGTCATGACTAAAACTATGCATCTTATACCCTGAATGCTGGCTACGAGTCAAATAATGATTCCCAAACACTTGGATAAGCCAGGTCAACTTGCACCTAGCTTCCAGTGGGGGAAGAAGCAACCCAGGCTTTGAAGTTAAGTGCTAACAGGCATGAGAGAGAAAGTATGTTTCTCTTGGTAGCAGGCAATCCATGTTCTCTTATGAGACTCAAGACAGCTAAGCACCAGCATACAGCAAAGATGGGAGTCACCCAGGCTCATACACCTACTACCAGACCCTTTTACCTGGAGATGCTGGGGATTGAAGCTGGGACCTTCTACATGTAAAACAGATACTCTACCATTAAGCCATGACCCCACTCCCAACCAAGGACACCCAGTGTTGCCTCCTGGTATTCAGAGGTTTATTGTCTCTGAATGTGGAGGTTCTCTTTAGTTACCATGGCTAGTAGCCATTGATGGACCTATCCATGAATCTAGCTCCCTTTTAAAACCATTTTTGCTGCAGGCCACTACTACACACACTAGCAGTGAATTCCAAAATGTAATTACTCATTAAATAAAGACGTACTTATCTTTGTCCATCCTGATTCTATCGCCCATCAACTTCAGTGGGTTCCCCTGGGTTTAGCAATAAGAACATAAGGAACCTGTTTCATGCTGTGGCCAACCAGTTGCCTTGGAAGGCCAACAAGTTCTTGAGGTAGGTGTCTAGTATTGGGGAGGGGGCTTCAGAGATGGAAATGACAAGTTCTTGGGGAGGGGGCTTCAGAGATGGAAATGGCAGTATTTGTTCCTTGTTATTTCCAACTTTCAGTGTTTCTGATGTATTAATTATTTATGTACATGGAATGTTTATGACTGGAAGACATTTTGAGCTTTGTAGGAAAAGCAGTATAGAATGCTAAACACCCTAATTATATCTTACCACTATCTTTATTTAGGAGACAGAGAAAGTCTCACCATACAGCAGCTGCGTAAGAGGTCTCCTGTTTAATCCCCATACCTAATCATCCTAACAGCAGGGCATGTGATCCAAATCTGCTCTTCCCTGTTGCACTTAAAATAATTCCATACACAGCAGGGCCAAAACAGGGGCTGGAAGAGCAGACACTCAACTGATTCTGCTGCTTTTGTTACAGAATTCTTCAGATGTTACATTTCCCTTCAGAAATTCACATAGGGAGTTTCATACACATGTGCGCAATTATCAGATGAACATTTAAGGCTCAAATCTATCATGGCTCGAGTATCTTTATTTGCAGACTGGTCTACAATGAGAACAGCATTCTCATTCTTGGGTTATTTGGCGTTACTATACATACTTAATGCACGGAGAGAAATAAAGCACTGAAGAGTACCACTGAGTTGGTTATGATGTCTGCCGTTTCCATGGGATTTAGTAGTGACTAATTTCTCCTAGATTGTAGGAGAAACATATTGTAATCCATGAAAATTCTAGTTAAGTACATATGCCTTCACATGCTAGACAAAACCCCTATCTGGAAAATACATCTGAAGTATCAGATATGTATGATTCTCAAAAACCATGTTAACCATTAGCCAGCTCACTTGTGGTACAGCTGTACTTCTCTAAAAGAGTTATTAGATATTCCTTGGGTGCATTGGACTTCAGTATTGGGTAGGTGGATGAGTAGCCTCACCTGGACAGGACAGTCAAACTGAGCCAGAGAAGGAGGGGGGATATTAAACTTTGTTTTCATTCTTCCACATTTTCATCTTGCCCTTCCTTCAAGAAGCTCACAGTAACTGGCCTGAAGTTACTCAGCAAGCTTCAGGGCAGAGTGGAGATTTGCATCGGGGTCTCTGAGGTTCTTTTCCAATACATGTGCTTTTCAACCTTAATGAGGCAAATTGCCTCTGGTGTGTCCTTCCTGTCCCCTTTTCTTGTAACCAGTTGCAGTGTAGGGCCTGGTGGTGTCTGGGTCATTTTTACCACAGTTGCACAGAAGGAGAAATTGACAGGAGCAACAGTGAGACCGACACTACATTCTTGTACATTCTTATTTTCTATTACCGTCAATCGGGAAAACAATTATTTGGATCATGTTGAGTACTACCTCCAAGATTTTGATTTTAATTTACTGTTTTTGGGGTCTGTTCAACCCCCATGTCTGACTAGTAAAGTACACTTTTTGTTTGGTTGAGGAATCATCTACAAGACTTCATCCTGGACAGCCTCAATTACTGGGCTTTACTTTGCGTAGAATGTTTAACTAATTGTCATATGTAGTTTC